TTACCGGCGAAGATAAGACGTTGTTGATCAGGTGGAATTCCTTCTTTATCTTGAATCTTGGCTTTAACATTTTCGATTGTGTCACTTGGTTCAACTTCGAGTGTTATAGTTTTGCCAGTGAGAGTTTTCACGAATATTTGCATACCACCACGTAATCGAAGAACTAAGTGAAGTGTACTTTCTTTTTGAATGTTGTAATCGCCGAGTGTTCGACCATCTTCAAGTTGTTTGCCGGCGAAGATAAGACGTTGTTGATCAGGTGGAATTCCTTCTTTGTCTTGGATTTTTGCTTTCACATTTTCGATGGTATCACTTGGTTCAACTTCAAGTGTGATAGTTTTGCCCGTAAGAGTTTTAACAAAAATTTGCATTGTTATTGTGTAAGAGTAAGTAGACAAAAACAAGAAATAAATATATTCTTAACAAGAATGAATGAAGTAATGTGAGAAATACTGCTGCTTTTATATTGTATGTCTTGTGAGAATGAATCAGCGCTCGGTCATTCTAGACAACGGTAGAATAATTTCAGTGTAATAATAATGACGCACAGTAAACTATGATAAATAAAGAAGGCAAAGGAATAGAACAGAAGAAAAGATTGAGTAAGTAACTAGCAATGACAGAGACAAGTGATTCATTGGATCAATAGGAAACTATGTACTTCAGAGGGCGCTGGAAACTTCACACTGTCTCAGAAACATTGGATGTTGTCACATGACGCATTAAATAAAATAAAACTTTTCTTGTATTTTTTTTTGTTCTGGAAGTTTACGAAATTATCAAGTAATATTTCACAAATATTGTTGACTAAGTAATAATCACGTTCATAGTTGATAGTATCTCAATTATACAAAAGCAATAGTTTGGGTGTCAGTGTGAGTGTAGGCATGGGTGGAAGCATGTGGCGTGTGAGTAGCAGTCGGACTGAGGCTGGGTGTTGTTCTTCGTCCACTGCACACCCATGCTCACACTAAAATCCACACCCCCACACCCACATCCTACAGGTAGGCCTTGTCGAAAGAGTAAGATTGGCATGCGAACTATCTAGAGTTTGGGTATGCAGCGCGGTATGTATCCTTCACTCTTTCTTACCCGATCCCACATTCACGTCTTCACATACTCACACCAATGTTTACGTATTTGGTACATTTAAACATTGTTTAGCAAATAGAGTTTCTTTGAAATATATAAAAACACTTATTGTAACCCTCATGCAATACAGAAATAGCATACAAATCGTTTTAATGATAAGAAACAAAAGTATTCAAGAAAAGAAATGGTTCATCAATAGAATGAGTAAAATTACTTATGATATTTCAATCAAGCTTCTTTAATGAGTACCCCGTGCGGTCGAATGTCTTGAGGATTAGGTGTAACCCATATGTCCTTATGATCGGTAAACTTGACACCACTAGGATTCACAGCTACTTGCAACATACATTTAAACTTTTTCTTTCCTTCTTGTCTCTCTAATTCAACAACTACAACATATCCATTTTCCGAAAACTTAGAATTTGGAGAACAGTAAACACTGGATCTGTAAAAAGTAACTCACGCGAGATGAAATCGATTTTCATAGGTACTTGCGACAGCATTGACAGATGCATATTGTTGATCGAACGACTGCTTATCATTCCTGAAATCTACTACTGTTGCTCTTCCTGTTCCATGAAAAGCTCGATACCAATTTCTAGGATGTTGAAATGGATGCAACTAAATTTTTACATCTTTATACTTGTCTAATACTTTCAATCCATACCTCGTGTATCCTGTATGTGAGGTGTATGTTTTGGTATTTTCTGGTGGGCCAACTTGATGAGTCCGAGGTGAACTCGAAAATGTTTTATTGCCCTGCTTATTAAAGAATAGGATATCAAATGTTGGTCGAAATAATAATGGGTGGATTTTTGCACTTAAAAATTGTTCGAATTGATGTTTTAGTTTTTGTGCAACTTTCGAAAATGAATTCACAATACGAGATCCCAAATCTTTCACTGTATAAATCACATTGAATGTTCCGGCAAACACGGCTTTGACACAGATATACTTTTTATCAATTCCATACGCTTTCGATAATCGTTCTATTATGTCTTCAATAACCGGATGAGATTGTTCTTGTTCAATAGTTTTACTCAATGTTTGCACAAATCTTATCACATCGTGTTCAGTTTTTTGTCCTATACCGCCTCCTAATCCTTCACTACTTTCCAATTTCAATATAAATGGTCTATCTTCTAAATCTATCTCAGACAAATATCCGGATGCATCATGAAGATTTCCACCATGAATGGAATCGAAAAATAAGCATGGTGAATTTTCGGTTTTCAAACAACTTCTTTAATACATGGCACACAATAGTTTTTTCGATAATTCCTCCTGATGGTAAATTGTGTAGGATCGATTTCGTAAATTCTTTTGCTCCATTTATATCGGGTCTTGTCTCATCTTTAACATCATCAATATTTGGAAAACTATCATGGTAGATTTTCAATTCCGTCTGCTTCTTTTTTGCTAATTCAAGGCTACCTTTCTTTCTTTTGTTTCAATCATCATCTTCGAATTGTTTGTCATCAACTTCGATTTCAACTAAATACAAATGTTATTAGAGATCAATAGCTGGAAAAATACCACTAAATCATTGTAATATTCACTAACATCGAAAAATACTACTGATCATGGTTAGAATAGAGAGGCTAGGTTTCAGCACGTCGTACGCTTAAAGCTCAAACAATATATTTCAGTTCATGGGGATTCACCATCCATCTCCAATACAAAAATTTACTTAGCATTTAGCATAAGACTATGGAACCAGAATAAAAGTCATGACATTCTTGAATTTTTTTGACTCCACGACTTGAGATTGTGGATCTCCCTTCGCTCATCGGCGTCCACATCAAAACCCATATTCACCTAGATTTTGACAAAGAAGATGTCAAGAAAAACCGAGAGATGAATGTTTTTTTTTATATGTACAACCTATTAATCGAACGTTGAGTCGAGTAAAAATTTGAGATTATTTATGGATCATCGATTAATGACGTCTAGGAAGACAGGGGAAAAGTCTGTGAAAACTGTAGAAATCTAGACAGAGAGGAAAGAAGATGAATGCTAAACATTTCTGGATGGCCAGACACTTACTATGAACATTATCTTTTGTTTTTCATACAGCTTTTCGCAAAATTTTCATGCTTAGTTTGTTTCGAAGAGCATTTATACATAGGAACGGCTGTAGATGTTGGTATGGATTAGTATAATTGACTTTTTATTCACAAACGCATCTACTCACACCCACATCCACACAAGGAACGAATCAAACAACAACACATTCAAAAACTTGAAGAGAGTGTCACAATATGATTTTGTATTATTTGTATAATACACTTCCATCATCGATTTACGCTTAAATATTTGGTAGTTGTAAACAGAAACAATCTGGTTCATATTCTTTTTGCTCCGGTTCATTATCGTCATCATCGACATCTGATGAATTGAGTAGTCTAGAGAAGAAAAATAAAACTTTCGTCCAATTAAATGATTCTTTCTATAGCTGATCCCAAACGCAGTCCTTTTTTAGTTTAAAGCAAAGTTAATAGTCAAAGTAGACGCTTGAGTGCGGTTCATTGGATACTAGTATATTTCATTCGAAATACTTGCTTTAGAAAGAATAAAAAACTCAAGGTGCATCAGGCTAGAAACTCGTCATTTCATGGACCATGGTTACAAAGATGACATTTTTTTAGAATTGTGAGTCAATTTTTTTTCATAGTACTGCCTAATTTTTTCTTGTTCTGAGGATTGGATGTAAGTGTGTGAGGCAACTACTCACACCTATATCTTTCAACTTTCAGTCACTAGTTAGAATCGATGAATTCGATGCCACAGACAACAATGTTCAAACTTGTTATTATTTGCTTTCTCTAAATATTTACAATAAGGTAATGCTATCCATTAAACTTCATCGGATTTTGCCATAAAATTTGTAAATTTTGATCTATTCCAAATAATCTTAAAACTTTTTTAAAGACACAATGAAATCTAATATCAGTTTCAGACAGAGAAATAAAAGCTGAACAATATTGTTATAAATAATTGACAGAACAATGGCTTTTCAAGATTATAATATATCATCGTTGAAACTACAGTCTAGGAATTGATGCATGCATCCATATATCAGACTAATATTAAAACATGATTTAAAATATGGTGAATGGAAACAAGATAATGAACTCTTTAGAACTGTGCTTATTGAAATCTTCGAGCGACGCTTTACACAGCATATGAACATACCTCTCTCGAAGTTGTTGTTGTCGTTTCATATCTTTAATTGGATGATACCAATTCATTGGACTTTGCCGTATTTCTTTTAAAATCCAGTCATGTCTATAGTTTATTGTTGATAGTTCTGGTGGACAATAAACATGAAGTTGTTCATGCATGGCAATCGTATTAAAGAAATATTCAATAAATGGCAAAAAACATCGAGCTGTTACATACTCATCTGTTTTTATTAGTAATCGACGGCTCAAACCAACGGCACAAATCATTGAATGATACCATGGCAAAGGAAATTTATCTTTAGCATCAAACCAAAATCTCCATGTTAGAGATTCCAGAGCTCCATGTAAATTGTAGTGATTTCTTTGACATACCAGATCATATCCTTGGCTGCAGCACTGCCCATTTAGAACTATCAAACCATGTACACTTGGAATAAATACGTCTTCTTCTACTAACCAGACAAAATCGTATGTTTTTCCATTTAAACGACAAAAGTAATATAATGCTTTGTCCCATGCTAAGCATTCTTTCTCCCATATGAGTGTCAGCGAATTTCTGTAACCATTGGAAACACATTGATTATTGTCGACTTGAATAAAATGCAATGAGCAGTCTGACTGCGGTGGATCATAAGTATTATCATCAATTATTATATAAACATCTAACTCATTTGTTGTTGAACTGATTTCATTTGCGAAACGAATTAATTCAATATGTGGTGTGCAAGTTAAAAAACCAATAGCAACTTTATTATTACGCTTTTGGTTGTTCATCGAACTCTAAAAGTAAAACTCTTACTAATGCAGTTGAAGATAGATGACAAACATATTCTGATAGTTCTGCAAAGTAGCCTATTATGAAAAGATGCTCAAATCAAATATTTTTGGGACGGTGGCAGATGTCTTGAGACATCTTCTTAAATTCGAGTATTACAATCAGTGTTGCCACCTTTTGAAGTCCGAAAAGCAGAAACACAGTAGAAAATATGTTTATGATATGAAACTAACGGGTAGCTCGTAATAAAAGAGGGTCTCAATATTTTGTTAACATCTTAACCGTTATCTTATCGCTCATGTTTTATTTTATTTTTTTTATCAAAAGATTCACCATCTGCTTCTGCACAAATTACATATTTCATTGTAAAAATACTTATTTCTTTCTATTTTGATATCAGCACGATTTAAAAATAGCGCTACACACAACTTTCAAAATCTCTATTTTTTTCAAATTTTTCCAAAAACATCCAGTCCTTAGATTAGTCTTATTATCATTGATCGTGCCATATTCTTTATCCAGAAACAGAATAAATTACCTCTGCTACATTGATTGAAATGAACCAATTTATCTCTTGAGTGGCGAACAAATTATACCCAAAATAACAGGATTAATTGAAAAACTGGACATTTTGGAAAAAATATTGAAAAAAATGAAGACTTTGAAAGTTGTGTGTAATGCTTGTTTTAAATCATGATGATGTTGAAGGGTGTGGGTGTGGATGTAGGTTAGAAGGAGACTAACACCCACGCCCACATTCTGATGTATAGTAAATTTTTCATTAATTTCAACTGATCAAGTATCATCAAACAACGATTGATTCTAAAATATGAATAACATATCAATATTTAAGTAACAACCGAATTTCCATCAATGCAAGGGTAAAGATACAATTGTTTTAACTGTTCTGTTTATTCTAATTGTGGTTCACTGAAAATTAATATTATTGTAAAGAGATTTATTTGTTATTTAGATTTTCGAATTTCTAAAATTTATTGATAAGTGATTTAATGATGATAAAAACTTTTAAATAACGTTTGTTAATGTAAGAAAAGCTTTTTCAACATATCTAATAGATGGTCCGTAATAAATGACTATCTGAATAGTTTTTGAATATATCTCTTAGCTTTCAAAGTTTTGACTTGAATATTTTCTCAAAATATAGCTTCAACAATTCTCTATAAAATCCAATGAAATGAAATTTTCAAAATGATAATTAGAAAATCATGCCCAGCTAGTGATACTAAATTTCAATAAGGTTCATTTCTCTTCTTAGGACGAAATAGATTTCAGATCATTCTTAAGTAAGTTTCCTATGTTTTCAGATATATTCTTCTTAACAGAGTTCAAAGAAAAAGATCTTCAGATAAGTTTGTGAGATTCCTGTGATCAATTGTTCCGAAGAACAAGTGTGAATTATTGATCATCCTACTAAGTGATAAATCTGAATTCGAATTGATTGTATACTTGGTTTAACTAAATCAAACTATTAATGAACCTCTATAAAAGATTCTTAAAACACAAATAATGGAGAACAAACGAAGTGTTTTGTTCGAATAAATTTACAATGTGCTAGAAAAAAGTGTTCGCTTTATAGACAGACTTTTTTCATGAGTCATGGAATGAGAGTATGGAACGTTTGGCTGAATGAAAGCAAGATACACAGGCGCCCATACCCATCGGTCGATGATGCTTGTCTCTTATTTCTATTGTGGAATGTCGGTAACAACTTCATTCTAGTTTCGAGTTCAAAGACATTTACAGAAAAGTCGGAATAAACTGATTTTAAACATCGATTGAGGAGAAATCCTACCATCTATGATCATTCATCATGCTTTTACAAAATATGAAATCGCGTACCGACTTTAAACATCATCGCCATTGATATCGAGGCGATAAGATCCTAGTAGGTATCAATGAACAAAAAAGTGAAAGTCAGTTTTTTTCACTTTCCAACGATCAGTCGTGCCGGTGCTTTTTGTGTTGATGGATAGATCCGAATGTCAGTGAAAAGTGGATGAAGTTGTCCTATTTCTTGCCTATCATGATTGACTATAATTCCGGTCAGTGATTCTTCGATAGCCATATCGAAATGAAAGTGGCAAAGTGTCGGCACACGTTGCTGGAGAATATCAGCGAGTGAGTATATATTAACATTGTTCACCGTGGACGAAGATCCTCGAACAATGAGAACAGTCAGATTAGGCATCAACGAGAGAAATAGATCGATTATATCGCAACATGAAAACATGGTTTCATTCAAGCAAAGATCGAATCGTCGAAGAGATGTATGAACAGGAACATCAAATCGAGCGGGTGATCGAGTAAAGTGTCGTGTTAACTCGAGATTTAAACGGATGAGAGACGGACAAGACTGAAGTATTTGTATGAAGACTCGTGGATTTTCTATACAAACATTCAATCTATACAACGATGGAACACAAGTCCAATCTTGTCGTATTCTGTACGAGATCAAATTGAGTTGACACGTGTGCAAATTTGGATACGCATTCGTGAAGACAAAGAACGGTAATGACACTGAATAATAGAAATGTTCTATTGGACGCTGTGAAATATATAAATATTTGAGATGAGAAAAGAGCTGAATTAATTGACATTGGGCTCGATTCGGTTCCATGTACAATGTCAACGAACGAACAGCCGAAAATGGTGATAAATCTATTAACTCAACGTAATGCATAATGAGTGTTGTTATACGTGAAGCGAAGTAACGAAAATATGAAGAAGACAATTCTTGTTGGAATGTTACTTCACCGTAGAGGTTTGTAAGAGAAGCGAGTATCGCTCGGAATCGATAGTTGAGAGTATAAAAACCATTATACAAATCTCGAATGGATAAATATTGGAAAATTTCAAAGAAAAGTTCATCTGGTAACGATTCGAGGATCGTAATCAAGGACGATGGTGGTGTCAGCAATAGATCATTCGTCCGATCCATTGAAATCAATCTGAAAGAATATTCAAGAATCAGAAAACACAAAGTCTGTAGAGATTTAAATTTACTATTACCAACTTATCCATACCTCTGATCAATCGATGCAGATTTGTCTTTACTTGTCTCACCTCTAATTTATCGCACAAAATATCCTTACTCGACAAGAGTCAACGATGCATGGATTACTACTATATTCTCCTATGATACCTTTAAATGTCAAAAAGAAAAAATTTCAATTGAATTCGTCAGTAATGAAAGCTAAACAAAACATTATCGAAGATTATAATTGAAGATACCATGATGCTATTTTATTTCTACAACTCGATGACTTATCGAAAAACCACTTAGCAACGAAAAGAAAGAAAGAACACAGTTGTATGGTTCTCACAAAACAACCAATCTTAATCTTATTCAATTGTTCTCATATTATTAGTATTTGAAAATCGATCTGTGTCGACCAGCGACATCCTTTCATTTTTCTCTATTCAGAAGACTCTTTCTATCGCCTGAATCATCGATAGAAATACCTAGCAACAAATAAGCTCTGGTTCTAAAGCTAATCTAAACACTAATATAGCCAACATTTGCTGCAATTTCAGTATTTAGAATGTACAGTCAAACATGCGTTGCTAAAATCCGTTCGCAATCATTCAATAGACACATCATTCTTTTGAAAGCCATTGGTACAACTGTCTATTCTCTTTGCTACTGCACTATGCATTAGAATCTCTTGACTGATTGAAATCATAATTTATTCTCAGATATTTCTCCTCTATTTAAACAAAATATTCCTTAGAAAAGTAAACATTTGATGTTGATTTGATTCGAGCATTGCAGGTTTCACGTGTGCATGTGACTGTGGATGTCCATGAAGAGATGCTAACGCACACATCCACACCCACACCCTTATCGACGCTCCACATTCACACCCTCAAGTAGCTTTCATTCAATCAACGAATTTTCTCGGGTTCTCTTAATCTCTTTTTGAATTTTTTGATTATTTTTCTTTTTTAATATATAAAAGAAACCAATCTGTAGTGCAAACAAAAATAATTGATTAATCAAACTTTTGTCAGACGTGAAACAACAATATGAAAGCATTTTGCTGCTTTCTCTCTCGTCTCACATCTTTAGTAAATACAGTGTTTTGAAAAATAATCAAGTGTCATACTATTCTTCAGATATTGATGCATTTTCACAAAAAAAAAGAACTAAAAACCCTTACGATTTATTCCAGATCAATCTCATCATCTGATGTATATTTTATAATTGATTTGAAATGCCAAACACAAGTCAGTCTCAGATTAAATACTTACCCAAATATAACAGTAGAGTATATAATGTAAGTATCTCATACATTATTAATTTATTGTCTCATAACATGTTTACATTAATCATTAAAACAATATCGAAGTTAATTCAAGTTTTTATACTATATATTGATTTTAAAATAACTGTACATGATGCTCAATTTTCTTTCTAACTTATTTTCTCATCTTCTTCATCTGATTGTTTATGTTTTTCAGTATTGAATAATTCAGAAGAAAACCTGTATCTATACTTTCGGTCATTTGTAATCTTTCAAACAATAATGAATTCTAATGATTTTCTTTAGAATGATCAACCATTTCATTTTAACAATGATACTTCAACGTTATATGAGTCAATAACATCACAGTCAAATCCTTCAACAGAGAAATTAGAAACCAATGTTGATAAACTGCAACAGATATTTACTAAAGATAGCACTGCTACTACTGCAGCACAAGGATTTTGGACAACAAAAAAACTAATAATCCTTCTTGTCTCCATCATTCTACTTGCTATATGCGTTGCTGTAGCCGTGGCTCTCGTTCTTACACTAAACAAAACCAATACTAACAGTACGTATCATTTTTCATTTGATCAATTGAATTCTATAGATATCAAGAAAGAACTTACTAGTCTTTTTTTCTAGAAGTCACTTATAGTTTCAAATAAAACATAGTAAGCAAAAGTTTAAATCGAAATTTTTGCGGCTTCCCCTTCTCCTCATTACAAACC